AGCGGTCTCAAGATTTAACAATACTGGTAAATTTCACCTTGAATCATCAACAAATAGTAATTCCAAAGACTTAATTCAACTTTCACTGACCTTTAAAAAAGACTTTTTGCTTTGCATAAACTGCACATAATGGCACTCCATATTTCTAATATTCTGCACATAAAATGTTTTAATCCCATGCTCTAATTAGAATAATTCTACAGTGAACACAGTGAGCAACCTACAAGCTCCTGCCATGCACTTGAAATTTTCCATGTAATCCTACTGTAGCAGCCTCAGCTTTAGCTGGCTAAAACTATGTTTGTGCAGTGATCAGAAGAGGAAAATATTGACATAAGCGCAGGAGGAACACTGCTGCTGTGCTGTTTGTTATCAGTTGTTCTGCAATTTCTGCCCCCCAACAACCTGCCAGCCCTCCTCAGCAACCTTTGAACATGCCAAGCAATCCATTTCACAGAGTATCAGGCAACCAAAAGAGACAGTCTGGGAACTTCTTAAAAATAACGAAAAGCTGAACATCTCTTCAGGACATTGTTTGAGGAATGTTTTTATGCTTTTAAGCAAGCAACAAAAATTAGACTGAGCAGTAAGGGTGACCAGGAAGGGCTGGGCATTTGATGCGTTAAGGGCTGGTTAATCTCACAAATTATTGCAGACTCAGTTTAATAGCCACATGATCGTGCAGCAAAGCCCTAGGCCTCTCAGAGTCTAGAGAGAGCCCCTTGAGAGCAGAGCACGCTGCATGCTGAATGACTGAGTGTCAGCCCTTAAGTCTTCCCAAACTACTTTGCACACTATAAATATTTAAAAGATTGCTGGGGTGGGGGATGGGGGATGGGGGGAGAACAGACAGGCTCTGATCTACCAGGAAACTGTTTTTCGGTATTTAAACTGCCATTACTTCCTTTTCCTGCTCGCACAATGTAAGAATTTTTTTTTAATTAATAATCCAAAGGGGGAAAGTGTTCCCGTTTAGTTACCTGTAGCACTGCCGTTAGTATTTGCTGGGTAGGCCATGTTTGCTCAGTGACACATCCACAGCTAGGCTGCCTGGTGTCATGCAAATGCCATGCATCAAGTCCAACCAGACATGCAACCTGGAACAAACAAGTAAAAAGCAGTTAAAAAAAACACATGTAGTTTTAAGAAGTTAGGTACATTAAGCAGTAGGCATTTCTGAGTATTTAAAGTCTCATTCTCAATGCAAACTTTAGCACAGCAGTAGCATGCTCCTCTTAAATCAGCGTCCTAGCTATCACAAACCCCAAAGGTGTCCAAGTGACCGAAGCTGAGCTGTGGTTCTCTGACAACCTCCAGATCTGTCGTCACTGAGGATGTAACTAGCTGAATCTGCAATTGGCCTTTGTTTTTCTGGCCTGCCCTCAACTTTTTTGCAGATGTTCTCTAAACATTCCTGTACCGCCGCAGATTCCTCACATTTTCTGGCATGTGTATAAAGTTCTAGATTACTCAACATTTTACGAAGGCAGGATTTTTTAGGTGGAGAGCACCTACAGAAGCACTGTACCAGTAAGTGGGGGACCAATGGCAGATTCTGAGCTCAGATGTCTCCCTGGGGAGGTGAGGGCAGAACCCTCAGGTGCAGCCAGAGCAGGCACCTCTGCCTGACAAACCTAGACACCAACAGCTACCGTGTGGAAGCTGGCAGGGTGGGGGGGACCACGAATGCTATCTGATTTTATCTGTGCTCATCTGACTACAAGACCTCGCCACTGCAAGTTTCAGCAGCAATGGGTTCTCTGGGTGTTAAGTGTTCTCCCAGCCCACACATGGCAGGTTGAACCAATAAGAAGCACTTGTCTGAAGCTCAGGCTGCAGGTACAGAAAAAAGGCACTGTCCCCCTGGGTGGGTGGCTGCTGGGATGAAGCCAAACCAGAGGCAGAGGCCAAAGCAGCAGCAGTTCTGTGGCCACCTAGCTGGCTCTGCAGCAGGGCTCCTGCCCATCATTCCCGGCCCACCTTCAGTGCAGTGAGCAGCCTGATCACGACTCATCTTCAGCAGAAGATCTGACCCATCTGGGGCTACAGAGATGCCTCTTCCTGATTCTGCTTTGAGTTTTCTACAGTTCAAAAGCATTTCATTTTGTTGACTCAGATAGGTGGAGCTTAGGTGTATGAAGAACACCCTGCTTGACCCCCATCTGACTTGGGCTGACAACTCAAGAAACCAGTCACATTTTTCCAATTATATTTGATTTAGCTCTCACAGTACATGCAGGGAAGTATTTAAAAGCTAAGCAGATTAGCAAAGTAAAAGAAAATCAAGAAATTAATGAGCACAGGCACCATGTGAATTTGAGTCAGACATACACTGACTGATAGAGAGGCTGGCTGTTTTCAAAAGCTGACAGAGCTCCATCACACAAGCTAATACAGCTTTACTTTCTCCTTCAAGAACACAAATGCCTTCATTTTTAGTACAGTCCTGACATCAATTTTCCAAAAATGCAGAAAGCTTCATTGCAATTCCTCCTCCCCTAGCTCTGCCATATACACTGACATTTACTGTCTCTTGTTCAGTGAAGGGCAGAGCATGAAGCTGCTATAAGGATTGTATAAAAGGCTAAGAACAACAATTTAAGGCAGGAATCCAACACAGGCCATGATGCATAGAGGCCCATCACAAGATTCCAGGCCTAACGATAATTATCAAAACAAAACAAAACAAAACAAAAAACCCCCCATGGTGCTGGCAAAGTTTGCAGCCAGAATAGAAGTTTTAAATCTGGGATCTTTTAAGAAAATATTAACTACTTCCTTTCAAACGGAGAGTTTTTAAAGCATCACTCCCATCTCTGCTTGCTATAAAGATATAGTTATGCTTTAAGCTGAAGACAGGCAATTTTTACTGAGTCACAGTGAATGCTTACTGAAAAATTATTGTCAGCTTCCATGTGAAGTTCAGGACATGTCCTGAAGTTCAAGACAGCCACTGTGTCAGGGCAGGCTGCACTTAGCAAGTGCAATCAATCTCTATCAGTGTAACTAAGGGTAAAGAAAACTGAATTTATTTACCCACTTCTAATTTGTTCAGCATAGATCTGTGCTTTCTCAGTAACACTGTAAAAACAGGTATGATTCCCTGCTTTTATTACATACACTGTACAAGGGAAGACCTGGGAGCCTGCACCCAGGGATGGATATGGACAGGTGGATGGGAGGGGATCCTGGGGGAACACATCTCTTTTACGTGCAGTGCAGCCACGAATACAAGTGGGCAACCACAAAAATGAGGCCCGACCATGGCGTGCCTCATCATGGGTTTAAAAGTAAAATCTGTTAAAAACACTAGTCACCATTCACAGGCACAAATGAGGAGAGCTTCCCAATAGCAAGAAACAAGTGTAACTGAGGTGACAATTGACATAAAGTTAACACAAACAGTGCTGAAAATCTACACAAGGACTAAGATCTACATTTTGTTGTGGCTTGAAGAGATGCAGCTGACCTGGTACTAACTGCCTTGTGGGTATGCTTCTATTAGTTTCAAAGCTATGCAAACTCACTTGCTGATTCAAAACTTAAGTGAGGATTAATAAAATAATTCAGGAAACAAATTTGGATTCAGCAAAATCAGCAAAAACAGAAGGAAAAAAAAGAGAGAAAACTACAGGATCAAATAATTTGTTTGCTAAGTGAAAGAACTGATTCCTGTGTTATTTTTTGTTTGTTTTTTGTTTAGGTCAAATGTAGAAGGAATTGAAAATATGCCTATTAAACAGCTCTTCAAGTACAGAAAAAATCTGATCTAGCTCAGCAAACTCATAGAAGAAGAGAATTTTGTTGAAACGTGCTTTGAGCCATACAACGGAAACTGAATTCCTGAAATTGCACCAACACATACCTGGATCATTTTTAGAATGTGCCACATGTGATTCCTCAGCTGCACACACCCCAGAAGCTGCATTTGGACACAAGTCTCTCATGTGGGCAAGGCACAGCAAAATACCAGAGGCCAGCTAGAATACAGAGAGGAGGAAAACACACCTCCTCTACAGCAAAGCACGTTCTCTGGTAGAGACATCTTACACAAGAAAATTAGTAGAGGAGCTTGTATATTCCATTCCCAACTCTTCAACTCTTTGCCTATGTGTTTTTACATGCTCAACCCATGCTTGCCTGTGAATACTGTGATTTACAGATCCTACGGCAAATGAATGCAAAACAAGCAGGGACTAGCTATATGAAGAGTTATTGCTCAATGAAGTCGTTGTTTAAAGCGTTTTGCATCAGATATTCAAACTCTCTTCCACCCTGAGGTTCAATAGCAGAAACCTTAAACACACGTGATCCTCAGTTTCTACAGGCATTCATGACACCCCAGCTTTTACAGGTTTTTCTGGAATGACAGTTTTTTAGGCTGAACATAAAGCCTATGTCCTAATGCTGTCGTAGTCACAAGGGAAAAGAACCTTGCTCCTCCTTTGTGCCGTGTCTTGCTAGGTCACTGACACCTATTCTGGTGTTTCAGCACCAGAACTATCTGAGTACATATAGATCACTTCTGGCATCCACACAGCAGAACTACAGAAATGCAGAAGCCTCAAGAGTCACAGACCTTGTAGAAAATCCAGACTTGCACTTCAGTCTGATGTTTGCAGGAGACACTTAAGATAGAAAACAGTTTGGTCTAAGAGCAGTTGTAGAACAGCATGTTGGCCACACAATAATTAGAAGAGAAATATAACTCAGCTCTTAACCCAGAAAAGCATCCTGAAAGTCCTCCTGTCCAGGGCTGAGGTCTCATGTGGCAATGTGACACAGACTGGTTTGTGGGATTCAAGAAAACAGATTCTGGCTTCCCAGGCAAGGAGGCTTTAGGCCAAAGAGACGTGTATGTAACTTCTTTTTTTTTTTTCATGGTACACACAGACACTTAAGAGCAAACAGGCATATCAATCACTCCAAACAAGCTCCAGATCACCACCATATTTTGAACCACTCACAGGGTGAATGTGGCTCAGACAATACAATTTCTTTTTTTAAGATCAGGATTCAAAGTGGGAGGACTGTATGTCAGAACTGTGAAGGAATCAAAGGTACTGGCTCCCAATTGTTCATATGGATGTAGTCAGGGAATGGTTCCAGGAGAAAAACCAGCTCTGCTATCCTATCCAGCAAGTGCAAAGTGGTGATTAAATAGGTCTGGGGTAGAAGGGTTTGACAGAGCAAGTCGACCCACAAGCTGCAATACTCAAGAAGAACTGGTACTGCTCCATTCCTGCTATACATCAGTGCAACAAGACTTCTGCCTGAGACTTCCCGCTCACATGTGGGTTGTCCTGGCAGTAGAACTTGCCCAGTTTCATTCTGCAAGACACTGATAACATTTGGAAACAAGAGACAAGACACATGCAAAACCCATCTGAAAACACAGATGGTAATTTCTCTAGCTGCGAGAAGAAATTGGCACTAGGAATGCCTCCTGCTCAGGTAGAGTGGCAAGCACTTTTCAAATTTGTGCTTCTCTACAGGAAACAGGAATGTCTGCAACCTATATGTACCAAGTATGCCAGGTGCAATTTAAATGAAGCAAGGTCTGAAGCCAACAACAGCAAAAGAGAAAGTATGTGGGGAGTTGTTCTGTGGCTGGTATCTGTGCTGGGATAATGACTGTATCTCGCTGATACTTTCTTTTCAATCTTAGCCCTGCTTTGGCTGTGTTCTTCTTATCTTTGCGTTTATCAAAATGAGTGGCAAATAAATTGAAAGGCAACATTTGTAAGGGAGAAATATCTTTTCTTTATATATGCTATTTTAGAATTAAAGGCAAAAAACAAGTAAGAATGTTTGCTATGCAAACATATAAGGTTTGTTGTTTTTTTTCAGGTCAGACACAGAGTAATCATCTTTGAGATAAAGGTAAATTGTGAGTGATTTTAGATTTCACTTAATTATTTAATCATGCAACAATTCACCCATTCATATAATTTCTAGAGCAAATGTCTTTCTAACGTTGCATCCAAATCACAAGCAAAATTATGCAAGCTGCTGTTCAAGTCTCAGTAACTGAACAAAATAAATCACTAGCTAGGCCACCCTAAAATGCAGAACTAAAAATCCCAGGGAACAGTGTTTCCTGCAGCATCTTTCAGGCAGCAGTCAGTTGTGGTTCAGTCTCTCCATCACAAGACAGAGACTATTTTTACTATATGCAGTATGACAGGTGATTTATTTTGGACAATATTTAAGCAGTCAATCAAAAGAAGCCACCTCTCACTAGGTTTTTGGGTTTTTTTCTGCAGAATCTGCAGTGTGATGAGAACAAAAGAAGCCTTGTAAATCTTTTCAACAAGCAAGTTAATTAACAAGATATGGCTACGGTCAGCATGAATTTACCTGCTTGGCTTCCTCACTCCCTCCACTTATGGCACTGGTCTGTAAAAAGGTCTTTCTTTACAGCAGAGCTCCAGGCAAAAGCTGAGCTAAGCTCTGTTAAGAAGAGAGTGATGGCTCAGAAACTCTGGGACCTGAGTCAGCAAGCTGAAGAAAAGAACAGTCAGACTGCTCCTACCCAGAGCAAATGCTTCCCTCCTGACAAAAACAACAGCAAAAAATCAGACCTAACTCTAAGCTTTGTTTCTTTTGAACCCCAAAGTCTGAGCTAATGCAGTTCCAGGCTCCAATTCTCAAGCTGTGTTGGAAATAAACAACCAGTTTCATGAGGATTTTCTCAATTGTCTTCTCCCCCCAGCTGCTATCTTAAGCACACTTGCATTAAGCTTGTCTGCCCACCTTGTTATTGCTGCAGGGAGAGAATAAATGTATAACCTTCAGTAATCTAGGGGTCTGAGGGATTTTCTTCTACATACTTGAAAATGGTCTTCTTATCTCCTGATTTGTTATCTACAAACCTTCTGCTTCACTCTCCTAAGCCACCTACCTACTGTATAGGAGCGGGGCTTTACTGGGTAGCTTTCAGTACGGAAAATGGATATATGTGAAAATATTTCAAAGGTACTGGGTCCTTATGGCCACTCGAAATATCACACAAATTTTCAAATTTTTCAAAAAAATCAGTTTCTGCATTTGCTAGCAATAACAGAAATAGTCTGCCATCAGCTGCTGAGTTTTAGTTTCCCTTCCACAAGGAGTTATCACAGTTTTTTCTGGAGGATTTGGAAGAGAAATCAGCCATTCCACACAAGCCACTCACTGACTTGCTGGGAAAGGAAAAAGAAACAGCAAAAGGATTTCAAAATAGTACCCAGCAGAAACAAACATAACAAGCATTCTGTAGAGGCAGATAAATGATCCATCCAGACTACCTTGTTTTCAATAGTAGCAACAGCAGATATTATTTAAGGAGAGTAAAAATGCCTTATGATGACTCCATGCTTCTGTATTCTCCCAGCATCAACAATTATTGGATTGGGAATATTTAAAGGTATGCTCTTACTATGCAATTTTAATATTCACACAAATTGCCTGTGAATTTTACTACCCTCTTTCTGATCCTGCTGATGCCACCTGCTTCTGCTGTGGAGCATGAAGTCCCAAGCTGTCAATACCCACCACCTACTTTTTTCTTGTTTTAAACTGATGATTCAGAAATTTTGCTGCCACCAAATTCCTTTGCAGTTTTATGAACTATAATCTTCTCTCCCAGCTCATAGGCAATACTATCCCCAGCTCATTTTACTTTGCCCTTTTTGTACCCTTTCACGTATAGTCACCATGTGGAAGATCCTGGTCATGAACAGCATCTTACTAAAAAGTTGTTTGCAAGAACAATCATAAAAACTGGGGTAAGGTACATTCAGTTTTTTTTGTGTAACCAAGCTTGGCTCTCACAACTAGCTAATTTGTGGGAAGTAAACCTCAGTTCCAGTAATTCTTGTGAAGCAGTTAAGACAAAACAGAACTTACCTGCAAGCACAAGCAACTTTCTCTAGCATAGGCCAGAGGTTGGACACAGCCCTCCCAAGTATCCCAAAAGACATCAGGTCAGCCTAGTGGACTTTTGGTAGCCACGCCTGTTCTCAGAGATCCAGCAGACTCACTGTCAGCCACAAGTGGCAGCCCTTGCTAGGTTCTTACTATCAGGAGATAGTAAGAACATTCATTAGTAAAATCACCATTCATTAGGAAAAGCAAACCTTTGTATGGATTCTGTAAATCATAGTTTGCATGCTTTTGTCACTTGTAATAAGGAGGATATCCCATCCATACAGAACTGGGCTACAGTCTGATGACTTGGTGGCCCTTGTCTGATGTGCAAGAACATGTTCTTCACTCATGTGATGTGAGCCTAAACAGACAGGTCTGTTTGGATGACACCCATCACACAGTGCTGCAAGGCCCCCCACACCCCACAAGCATTCTCAGACCACCCATCTCTTTTGGAAATAGTTCCTGACAACATCATTGTCATCACGTTACATTACAGAAGAAAAAAACACACCTTCAGAAGATGGCATAGTGCTGCAGCTCAGAAACCCATTTCTGTTTATATTACAGAAAAAAAAATCAACTAGAGAAAGAAAGGCAACCCACAGTAGAAAAAAACAAGTTCTTTTTTATACCTGAAATTCCTAATGGATGATGTAGAAGACACTCCCTTTTATTTATGCCAGTGAATAATGAGTCACATAAAAATACACAAATTCAAGTCAGTATGATATTGCTATGCGTCGTAATGCTTGCTGTGACAGGGAGCCCAAAGGATGCAACTGGGTTACCCACATTTTTCTTATGGAAAAGCAGGAGGGATGAGACTTCCATGGCTTGAAATAGTTCAGTCTCCAAGAAGGAGATGAAACATGTGCTGAGCAGCATTTTCATCTGCTGACAATGACTGAAATCCAGCACGACTAACAAAAGAAAAGGTTTCCAAAAAGTTGGAGAGGAATGACTGCATGTTGGGGATGATGCATGCATCCAGCTGTAGCATACCTGTAGCCTCCCAGAGCTGAAAACCCTGGAACTGCTCTGCCTGGGACAAGAAACAGTTCTAGCTTCCTCTCCACAGCATGTGCATAAACTGTCCATCATATCTGTTCACTCAATGGGGCAGGACAAAATACAGCATCCTTTCCACTATATCTTTAAGCACTAAAAGTTGAACAACAGTTGGAAAACCACATATGCAGATTACAATAATTTAAAATTAATTCACTTTTTCAAATAGAATTTACAGGGAGGCTAAGATGAACAAACCAAAAAAGGATGTTTATGAAATGGACTGTAATCTTGTTTTGACCTTGCATCTAAGATAAACTGCAAGTATTTTAAGGCACAAACTCTGATAAACAGAGAAATCTAACTTTTCTATAAATTACCCAAGTATTTAGTCTTCAGTGACATTGCATATATAATGGCACAAGCATGAAACATATTTAGAGGCAGACAGTCAAATCTCAGTGTGTCTGCTCCTCTGATTTTAGGTCTGAGATACTATACATAACTAGACCAACCATAGATCTGATATGACAAAAGGGCAATGATATGGGACAGTTGGCAAGTTCAAAGACAAATACTTTTGTCCAGCAGCACTTGCTCATGTAACTGTGACCTCAGCTGAAGGTGTATCTTTGCCTGAGAAAGTTCCAGCAGATCAGTTTTGTGCCCCAAGTACTGCTTCCCCCCCACAGTAATGTCCAAATCCTGGTATCTCTTCCTTTTTTTTACTACTAATATGGGTACTGTGGACTGTGATTATCAATCTTACATGAACAGAGAAATGATAGGCTTTTTCCACAATGAAAATGGAAAGTTGTAGGGTCAAGGAGACAATATTGCAAGGGCCAGGCTCTTGCTTTTCATCTACCAGTTTACAAGAGAGGACTTAGAAGTCTCACTCTCCATTAGATCTGTCTATAGCCCACACTGCCAACATCTATCCCCTAAGTGCTAGACTATATCCACAATATAATGGGCCCATTTCTCCTCAAGCTGCTTGAAGTGACCCTTCAGGAATACAAAGGGACCCTACTTACCACAACTTTTCTATTGAGACCACAACCCCACAGCTTCAGCATCACCAGGGAACACACTCCAGACATCCTCCAGGCTGCTGTCCCTTCCCACTCCCTCACACAGCATCCCTCAGAAACAGCTAGCATGTGTGCACAATTATTTTTACCTCCTCCCTAAGCCACAAACCATCTCTTGTGAGGTTTCCAGTGTTCATTCCAGGGGTGAGGAGGTTTCTCTGGTCCTGCCTCCAAAGCCACCATTTGTCCACACCACAGCCTATGGACTGCAAGCCTGCATACACTGGCATGAGGGAGGCAGGATATCACAGCAGCAAAACCCCACCAGATGCCATATGGCCTCTTGTTATTGAGCATGCAGAGTCACCAAACCATGCTAACACTTTGATTTGGAGCTGGCATGAATCAGCTGGAGACCATCTGGCAGCCGCTGCAGCAGGGCATGATGGAGCCAGTCTAGCTGGGAATCTCCATACTCTTCCTGCTCAACAGCTCACAGAGAAAGACTTGTCAGCTTGTCAGGCAAGTGTCACTCAGCCTCTGTATTGCATGCAGCCAAAAGCATTTTGCTGCATGTGGACACCTGCAGGAAACTTACCCACCCAAAGGAGGGGACCACAAGTTGGGGCAATGCACTTGTCCCTCACAAGGGACGTTCCCCTCTGCAGCCTAGTCAAACCAACATTGAAACAATCTGTTCCTAGTACTCTGGGACTTTGTAATTTAATCAGGGTAATTGAAACTCAGCATAGAGTTCACATAACCTGTCTTCCTCCTTTCTCAGTGAGAGAGTGAACTAACACTTGCATTAATAATTCACAGCATCTTTTCATGCTCATTCTTCCCATCTTTTTCAAAGAGATGTACAATAGCAAGAGAGTCCAGTGCAGACAAAAGTGTGGTGATCAACTTACTGCACAAGAACTTTTCACCTTAGGATGCCAGGACTCAATGACTTACGTCTCTCCCCTGAAAATTCTCATCTAAAGCCCTGCATCTGGCAACTGGCATGAGGCACACCGCTGCTGTGCCACAGGGTGCCAGGAAGCAGAGGTGCTGACAGGCTGCTGGGACGTGTGTGGTACAACTGCCATGTGCAGCATCGTGGCTGGCAGTGCTGACTCTCATTTCTGCCAGGCACATCCAAATAAACTCGGCCTTCATTCCCATTGTCTGTCAGCCAAAACTGTATCTCAGCGCTGACATGAGCTGAAACAATAACAAACAAGGGGCCATCTATATCTTACAACAAGATATAATTCAAGTTAGAATCCAATCCGTAATTCCCCAAATGGTGTACGGATCTGAAACACACACCCTGTTGTAACTCCAAGACAGTGGACTGAGTCCACCATAATTCACAAAAAATATAAATTTCTGTGGAGATCCATAAATATATTACCTTTAGTATTTTTAGTTGATCTCTTGCTAGATAGCAGACTGTTAATAAAGAAATAGCAAAATAAGGAATGTTTTTGTTTGTCACCATATGAGCAAACAGACAAACGGATGGCAGTGCATCTTGCACAACAAACCAAATTCTGGTAGAAAAAGAAAGAACTTAAGCTTCTGAAGAGCAACAGGCCTGTCACTGAAACAATGCATCATCAATGTGATTCATGTGTTTCTTCACAGAAAGCGAGTCCTAAGCAGGAAACTATGTGGTGTAAATAAAACTGAAACTAATTCAGATGTTCTTAGTAACACAAGAATGGCTTTCATATTCACTTGTATTATTATCTCAAGAGCAGAATAAGCTGCTGTACAATTATCAATGCCCTCCTGAAACCATACCACAAAGGTCCTAGCAGAGGGGCACTGTC